TTTTTTTTAAAAATGGGGGCCTTATCTGTATTAAAAAGTAATCCTACAATTTGATGTTTAACTTACAGCTTGAATTAAGAGAAAAGTCCTTCTGCTCACTTAAGTGAAATATTTACTTATGTATGTATTTATTTTTTAATGTGTATTTATTTTTGAGACAGACAGAGACAGGGCATGAATGGGGGAGGGTCAGAGAGAGAGGGAGACACAGAATCTGAAACAGGCTCCAGGCTCTGAGCTCTGTCAGCGAGCCGATCAGGGGACTTCGAACTCATGCACCGGTAATCATGACCTGAAGGCAGTTGGGATGTGGCCGACTATGAGCCACCCAGGCGCCCCTTTAAGTGAAATATTTCAAAAAGGCAAACCACTCTCGGGGGCTCCTGGGTGACTCAGTCCGTTAAGCGTCTGACTCTTAATTTCGGCTCAGGTCATGATCTCACAGTTGGTAAGATCGAGCCCCGGGTTGGGCTCCATGCTGACAGCATGGAGCTTGATTGGGATGCTCTCTCCCTCTTTCTCTGCCCCTCCCCCCCCTTCTCTCTCTCTTTCTTTCTCTCTGTCTTTCTCTCTTTCTTCTCCCACCTCAAAAATAAATAAATAAACATGGGGAAAAAATGCAAACCACCTAAAAGTGTGTAAAATAGAAAGCAAAAGTTTTCCAAACCCTACTCTACATGAATATGTACACGGCCAGCTACCATCAAATCACCTATCAGGTATATTCTTCCTTCAGGCAAAAGCTGAAGCATCACGGTGCCCACATTTCCTGTAGCAATCATACATTTTTCTCCAGCGCATTGAAAGACTTTCTGGAAGAAATTCCCAAACTGTAAATAAGTCATGCCCTCCCCGTATATTGAAACCCAAGAGAAAGAATCTCTCCATGTTCAAGTGTAATGATTTAATCCGAGGAAGAACGAGTTCCCCTTCATTCCTGGCCCCTGTGCATCACCTCCTTGCCCTCAGTTGAGCAGTCAGAGCTGTGAGCTCTGTTACCAAAACCAAAGAGTTTTCTACAGCCCCTGTCTAAGTTAAATGGTCTAAACAATCTCTCTATGTGAGATGCGTTTCACCAGTTTTCTGAATGCTATCCCTGCGAGAAACTCTTTATCTTCTTAAACTCGTTTTGATTGTGCCGCATTTGGAATGACTGCAGTCACTGAAACTCGAGTGCTCCTGATAATCTTAGCCTTAACAGGTGTTTAGGGCTTAAAGACAACCTACAAGTGTAATAGGAATAGAAGCCTGTGGTTCTGGCACGGGATGAACATGGCATTCCAAGACTTACCTGAAACCCCAAACAAACAAACAAACAAACAAACAAACAAAAAACCCCTCCTGGGTGGGGGACCCAGGGAGACGAGAGAGGTTCTTTGAACATTTCTGAAAAGGGCTTTGAAAAGTTCACCTGTTAGAAAGCACTGGTTATTCTAACTCCTTCGCTTGGTCACCCAGATTCAACACATGGCCCTAAAACCTGCAGTTGTGCTCTGAGATATGGCTTCACACCGTAGGGAATATCCTGAAATAATTTCAGATGTTATCATTATTCAGTTGTACATAAAAGCTGCATTTTTTTTGGACCAGAGTGTTGTGCAGAGAGCAGTGCATAGAATACTTACCCTTTGGCCAGCTCCGCTGATATCTGTTCCAAAGAGCATCCCTTCGTCTCAGGTATAAACACAACAACAAAAACCAGGGATGCGAGGCTCATGATCGTGTATATAAAGCACACCCATGGCAAGCCAATGAGATCTACAAAGGACAAAAGAGACTGATTAAAAATGTGGGTTTTGCTTTTTGTTTTTTATTTTAGAGAGAGAGAGAGGGAAAGCAGGGGAGAGGGAGAGAGAGAAAGAGAGAGAGAGAGAGAGAGAGAATCCTAAGCAGTTTCCACCCTCAGTGTGGAGCCCAACACAGGACTCAATCCCAGGACCTTGGGATCATGATCTGAGCCGAAATCAAGAGTAGGACACTCAACTGACTAAGCCACCCAGGCATCCCTAAAAATGTGTTTGGTGTTGCTTTGACCCACTTTGTGGACAGCTGCTTCTTAGAGCATATAAAAAACATGTGTATTTCCAAATACACTGGTAGGGTATATATCCAGGGAAATAGCAACTACAAATTAAAAATAGTCAACCTCTGTAAGTGTCATGTTTACCAACTACCCCAGCTTGCCCTGTCAAAGTAAATAGAAGCCTTGTGACTACCACCATTTAAATCCAATGCCATCGTGCCATCTTCCTGCTGAATATGCTCATTGCAAAAAAGAAAAAAAGACTTCAAACAGCACAGAAACAGAGAAAGCAGAAGGTAAAATATCTCCTCTCTCTCTCTCTCTCCTCACCCCACAGTTCCCCTCCTGGGAGTACTGGCTGTAGCAGTTTGGTTTCTATTTGGTGGATATTTTAAAAGACATTTATACAGATGCACTTTTCTTGAAATGAGCTCACCCGTCTTTACCCTGACTCAAATACGTCACTCGTGTTGGCAATATTCATTTTAGTAGCTGGCAGCATTTTTGTGATGCCTCTTCCTGGATTCAGAGAAAAAAGTGATAACTCCTTTTTTTTTTTAACGTTTATCTATTTTTGAGAGACAGGGTGTGAGCAGGGGAGGGGCAGAGAGAGAGGGAGACACAGAATCCGAAGCAGGCTCCAGGCTCTGAGCCATCAGCACAGAGCCCGACGCTGGGCTCGAACTCACAAACTGAGAGATCATGACCTGAGCCAAAGTCGGACACTTAACTGACTGAGCCACCCAGGTGCCCCAGAAGTGGTAACAGTTCTAATGAAAGGCATTAGCTTGCTAAGATTCATCAACAAGAAGCCGCATCCTCTCCTGCCAGCCTGGTGTTTCCTCTGACTCCTTCTGGTCAAAGATACAGTCCTTTTGTAGTTACTGACCAAGGTTCGAGGCAAGTTAACTGGCGAGAAGCGGCCCCCAGGGCACCGGAGCCTGGCATGGGCACTGCGTTGCCCCGGGCTTAGCAGCAAGAAGTCCAGCCTGGCGGGGACTTGTGGGAAAGAAACTGGCTCTTAACAAACACAGGCTCAGACTGACCTCAGCCAGAGACAGCGCAAACAGCCCTTAACAGCCGCAGCCACGAATCCCGACTGGTCAGTCAGGGAAAAGTGCAGCGGGGAGGTTTGGCGAATGCAGCGTGGAAGGATCTGGGCATATGAACCACCTGCCAGTCAGTGAGGTGAGGAGAAGCAGGAAGAAGGGACAGTGCTGCAGTTCTTTGGACAGTTTTT